CCAGAGTGGCTCAGTCAGTTGGGTGTGTGACTCTTGGTTTCGGCTCAGGTCATGACCTCATGGGTTGTGGGATCACTGGACTCTCATTGGACTCTGTGCTCAGTGGGGAGTCTGCTTGAAGATTCCCTCTGCCCCGCCCCCCAACCTCCGCTCAAATAAATAAATCTTAAAAACAAAACAAAACCATGGGACTGAATATGATCACTTAGGTAGAGAAGGTAGACAGGGCAGTGGGTGCTATGGAGTACTCAGTATTCAAAAGGGTTGCAGAAAGGCAGAAGAGCCTGCAAAACAGACTGAGAGAAAGCAACTGGGAATACAGGAGGAAAAACAGTAAGATGGGGTTATGGGGCCAAGAGAATAAGTGTCAAGAAGGGCATAGTCAATTTTATTGAAAATTGCTAGGAGGTCAAATGAGATAACAACAGAGAAGTAACCACTGTATTTAACAATACTGAAATCACTGGTGATTTTGACAAGAGCAACTTCAATAAAGTGGCAGAAATGAGCAATGGAAGCTCAATTATAGTGGACTCAAAATATAATGGAGGTGAACAAAGGGGAAAAGGTGACTATAGACAAATTTTTCAAAGAAATATTGCTCTGTCTTCTGCATAGTAAAGCAAACAATCAACAAAATTAAAAAGCAACCTACAGAATGGGAGAAGATATTTACAAATGACATATCTGATAAAGTATTAGTATCCAAAATATATAAAGAACTTATAAAACTCAACACCCAACATCTGAATAATCCAGTTAAAAAATGGGCAGAAGACATGAATAGACATTTTCCAAAGCAGACCTACAGAGGGCCAAAAGACATATGAAAAGCTGTTCCACATTACTCATTATCTGGGAAATGCAAATCAAAACTAAAATGAGATCTCTCACACCTGTCAGAATGGCTTAAATCAAAACTCCAAGAAACAAGATACCTTGGTAAGAATGCAGAGAAAAGAGAACCCTCTTACACTGTTGGTAGGAATGCAAACTGGTGTAGCCACTATGGAAAACAGTATGGAGGTTGCTCAAAAAGTTAAAAATAGAACTACCTGGGGTGCCTGGGTAGCTCAGTGGGTTAAGCCTCTGCCTTCGGCTCAGGTCATGATCCCAGGGTCCTGGGATCGAGCCCCGCATCGGGCTCTCTGCTCAGCAGGGAGTCTGCTCCCCCCCGCTACACCTGCCTCTCTGCCTACTTGTGATCTCTCTGTCTGTCACATAAATAAATAAAAAAATCTTAAAAAAAAAGAATATTTAAAAAAAAAAGAACTACCCTATAATTCAGTAATTATACTACGAGGTATTTACCCAAAGAATACAAGAATACTAATTCAATGGGAGCCATGCGCCCCAATGTTTACAGCAGGATTATCAACAATAGCCAAACTATGGAAAGAACCCAAATGTCCATTGACTGATGAAAGGAACAAAGAAGATGTGGCATATATATACAACAGAATAGTACTCAGCCACAAAAAAGAATGAAACCTTGCCACTTGCAATGACATGGATGGAGCTAGAGAGTGTAATGTTTAGTGAAAGAAGTCAAGAAAGACAAATACCATATGAGTTCACTCAGATGTGGAATTTAAGAAACAAAACAAACAAGCTAGGGGAGAAAAAGAGACAGAGGCAAACCAAGTAACAGACTCTTTACTATAGAGAACAACAAACTGATGGTTAACAGAATGGAGGTGGGTGGGTAAAAGGATTAAATAGGTGATAAGGTTTAAGGAGTGCACTTGTTGTGATGTGTGCCAGGAGCTGTATGGAAGCGCTGAATCACTATATTGCACATCTGAAACTAATATTATACTGTATGTTAACCAATGGGTTTAAATTTCAATAAATTAAAAAATTTTTAATAAAATAATTTAAATAAATTATAATTTTTATATCTATAATATAAATATAAATATAAATAAATCTAAATAAAATTTAAATAAAAAACCTAAAAATAAAGAAATATTGCTTTGAAGGGAAGAGAAATGCAGTAATAATTGGAGGGGGATGGGAACATCAAAGGCACTTTTTTTTGAGATGGACAATATTAGTCCATTGTAGCTGATGGGATTGGTCCAGTAGAGAGGGAGAAACTAATAAGGCCAGAGAAAGGAGGTAACTGCAAAAGCAAAGTTCTTGAGAAAAGGAGATAGTATAGGACCCAGAACAAATATGTAAGAACTGCCCTGTTACAGGAGCAGAGAAACTTATAGATTTAAACAGAATATAAAGCAAAGCATATGTGTGCAGATACAGGGAGATGAGAAAACTTCATCTCTGACCACTTCTGTTTTCTCTGGTTCAGGATCTGAAAGCAGTGAGTCTACTCCTCTGAATTCCTATAAACCCTCTCCAGGTCCTTCCAAGTGAGCAGGCCTGGTGAACAGTAAGGAGCCCTCACAGTAGTATGGGGAAGCATGCACCATACTCTAGTGTCCGACCTAATAAGGTTTCTCTTAGTATAGCGGTTCTCAAATTGTGGTCTCTGGAACAGATGTAACATCATTCTTTAGACATTTGTTAGAAATGCAAATTATCAGGCTCTACTCCAACCTACTGGATTAGAAACTCTGGGGACAGGGCCCAGCAACAAGTTTAAATAAGTACTCTCGGTGATTTTGAGAAGTTTGAGAACCACTGTCTTTGCAGAATGCTGAGGGTTTCTTGGAAGACTGAAATAGCAATTTCTCAGATACAAAAATGTCAGCAGCAAGAGCTTTTCATAATGAAACTAAGTATAAGACAAATGCTTTAAAAGTACTGGCAGTCAGCTGTGTTAACTTCTTTTCACATACCTTTGCCTCAAAGGCCAAGCCTAGGTCCACAGCATAATCCCATGAGTATGATAGAAATTACTCCATGAGATTCAGGCCTCAGATGAAACTGACTCACTGAGGAAGGCTGATTTTAAATTTAAAAGCATGGGGACGCCTGGGTGGCTCAGTGGGTTAAGCCTCTGCCTTCGGCTCAGGTCATGATCTCGGGGTCCCGGGATCGAGTCCCGCATCGGGCTCTCTGCTCAGCAGGGAGCCTGCTTCCCCTTCTCTCTCTCTGCCTGCCTCTCTGCCTACTTGTGATCTCTGTCTGTCAAATAAATAAATAAAATCTTTAAAAAAAAAAATAAAAAAAAAAATAAAAGCATGCACTGTGGAGGAAAAAAGTACATAACAAGATAGAATTGAGGGAGGTGTCGCAGAGGGATGCTTGATTTGGAGTCAAACATATTGCTGTTCCATGGGTAGAACCACCATGTGTGATCCTGAATAAAACCCTTAACTTTTCTGAGCTCAGTTTTCTCATCTAAAAATATGAAGGTGCCAAAATCTTACCTTGGAAGGGAGTCTGTGACTATAATCCTGTCTGAGTAAAGAGTCTAGAAGTAGTCCCCAAGTTGCCATGTATTGTATCATGTGACCCTGGTCTCAACAGTTTGAACCAGTAGATTTAGACCAATAGTGCAACATTCCTATACTTCAGCAAATGTGGTTATGTCATGGCAGAGACAGTTTTCTATAATTTTATTCTGTATCCAGAAGTAAGCAGAGCTGTCTCTGTTTCTTTGCAGTAAACACACAATAACTTTATAGGGTTGTTATGAGAATTAAGTGAAAAAATGTGAGTATAATCTATAACACAGAGTCTGACACATAAAACTCAAAAATGTAGTTCTTCATAGTAATGAGAGCTCCAAAGCCATTAGTGCCACAGGTAAGATCAAAAAGCCTCAGCACCCAAAACAAAACCCCAAAGTAAATGAGTATAGTTGCAGAGTCATGAAGCCTCACTCTGCAAGGCTTTTAGCTCTGAGGCTATGAAATATATGCTCCTGGGGCTTTAGTCCAGAAGAACTCACTGAACTCCTAACCTGCAGCTTTCTGATGTATTACTCTGTATGAGTGGAAAGTTTGTTGTTGCTTTCTGGCATGGAGGGACTATGGAGGAGCTATATTAGAAATTTAAGAACACGTTACACAGAACTTTTCCAGTATAACTGAAAGTGGGGCTATGACTGGATTCAGGGTATGGAAGATTCTGAAAATAAGAAGAGAAGCTGAGTATTAGCACTGCAAAACTGGCCTTGGAGCATTGGAATGATACAGAGAAATGATGACCAGAGACGATGGCCTTGATGAGGAGAATCTAGAACAGAGAGGCCATTCGGAAGGCCACAGGTCTAATTTAATCTAGAAGTTCCCAATGCCCTCAACCAGAGCAGTGGTGATAGGAAATTAAAAAGTGTGAGTGGACACTGAATTGCATTTTAAAGGTCAAGGCATCAAATAAAGTTGGTGACTGAATGTTGGGAATGAAAGAAAAATGAGTGCCTGACAGTTTGGTAGAGTGAGGAATGGTGGTGCCACTGCCAGAGTTATGGGAACATGTTTTGGTTGAAGGTCCGAATTCATTTTTGGATTTCTCAAACTTGAGGTGATTAGGGGATTTTTCAGTGGAAATGGTTATAGTGCAATGCTGTTATGGGACTGGAACTCAGATTAATGGAAAGAAGATGAGGCTAAGATCAAAAGAGAGGTAAGCTTTGGAGCCATGACATTAAAAAAAAAAGTTCTCAGTGAGGGGGTATAGAGGAAGAAGAAGTCCAAGGCTGCCCTCTGTCTAAGAGGTGTGTCTAGTAGTGATACAGAAGAGCAAACCCAGGGAAAGCAAGAAAAGTAAGGTTGATAAGTATCTGGAGAGCCAGGTTAGTGCCAGGCAGAAGAAGCCAAGGGAAGACATTTTCCCTCAGCAAAGGCTTCTATGAGGTAATATCTGGAACAGAATACTGATGTCAATAGCAAAGTACAATGTTGTGGAAGCAACATGAATGAGCTTAGAATACTCTGGGTGGCCTGCGTAGAGCCTACATCTTTCATAGCTAGGCTAAAGTTCATTTAGCAAGACTCTCATAATGACTGATGGCAAGCATTCGCTAACACTTCTGCAGGGGGCAGACTGGAAGGACAGACAGAGCACTTATCTGAGATACGGGGACTTACCTAACTCATCCCAAAGTTGCCTGCATTTATCTGTCATGCTTGTTCCTTGCTGCCTCCAGAGTGTGAGTCGTGGGTCAGCCATAAACTGCTCAGTTATCAGCGTCAGCATCCTGGCTCCATTGGAATCCCTCATCCGCAGCATCTCTCGAACCTGACACATAAGGAGGGGCCAGGGGTTGGTGACTGCACATCATAAAAAAGCAGGAGGAGAAGGAAGGGGAGGAGAAGATGAAGTATCTAAGCATAACACACCCAAAGAGCCAAAAAGAAGGTTTCTTGTTCTATAAGCAAGTTCTCTGCATCTATCAAGAAAGCCTGCTGTGCACAATGAGATACCACTTCACATCCACTAGAATGGCTAGAATCAAAAAGTCAGATAACAACAGGTGTTGGCGAGGATATAGAGAAATCAGACCTCTGACACACTGTTGGTGGGAATGTAAAATGATGCAGCCACTTTAGAAATCAGTATAGTATTTCCTCAAATGATTAAATGTAGAATTACATGACCTATCAGTTCCGATCGTAGAGAGAATGAAAACACTTGTCCACACAGAAACTTGTAAGAGAATGTTTATAAAAGCATTATACATAATAACCAAAAGGTGGAAATAATCCAAATATCCACTAACAGAGAATGGGTAAACAAAAGTGGTCTAGTCATACAATGGAGTATTAGTCAACCATAAAAAAGAATTAAGTATGGATACATGCACAACATGGGTGATCCTTGAAAATACTATGTTAAATGAAAGAAGACAGTCACAAAAGATTATATACTATATTATTCTACTCCTAGGAAAGCCCAGAATAGGGAAATCTATAGAGACAGAAAGTAGATTAGTGATTGCTTAGGGCTGGAGGAGGGGGAGTGAGGAATAAGGGAAGTGACAGGTAAAGGGTATAGGGTTTCTTTTTAGGGTGATGAAAATGGTCTAAAATTGACTATGGTGATGGGTACACATATCTGTGAAAAACTAAAAACCACTGAAATGCACACTTTAAATGGGTGAATCATCTGTTACTAAAGGCGTTAAGAAAAAAAGAAAGAAAGAAAACCTGCTGTGAGAGCCCAGAGTTCTAAAGTACTACATCTCTTCAAGGTTTCATCTGGCAGCCTTGGGTTCCAAGCAGAGGGATTGTCTTCCTGACGAAAACCCCCAGCAATGTTAATTGATTTAGAATGGAGCAGAAGGAAGAGGACTACCAGGGAGAGGCAGTAAGGATCCCTGGATGCCACCTGCTCTGATCAGCCCTCCCATTAGTTTTCGAGGATTCGGTACAGATAGATCAAGTGAGCTAGATCCAACGCATGAAGCCAGAAGTGTGGTGAGCCCAGTTTACTTAAAGAAAAAAAAAAAAAATACCCTTCATATCTTACCTTGGCAAACATTGAATTGAGTTGCTTCCCAGAGCCATAGTAACCACCCTGGGAGAGGAAGAGTTTCACTTGTTCTTTGACCTGTTCCTCATCCAAATGCCAGCAGTTTTCATCATCGATGCTGGCCCCAGCTGTGGGGTCAGGGGCACCTGTGAGGGATGGCAATGGTGAAATGAGTCCCCTGAATTCATATGCTACACATTTGGCAGAAGGGGTACTTTGTGAGTATATTAAAAAATGGATGGCTTATTCTGCCATAATTGGGGGCTTTGTCAACTGTGTGGTCCTAAATAAATATAAGAGGGCTAATGCTAGTTTCATATTCACTTATGTCTCAGTCTTATCTCCTTCCAAGGTCTATAAATACCATTCCGGGGGTGGGGGAATCCCAGAAGGAAATGCACAAAGACGAAAAAGTGATTTATTTTTTCCCTAGGAGGGTGACATTTATTTTTTTCCGTTCAATTTGCCTTCCTATGACATTCAAATAAACCTTAAAGTACAGGTTACAAAATTCTGTGTCATTATGCAATTGTAGCTTCTCAGCAGAGTCAACACTTCTAAATCTCTAGAAACTTGCCCCTTAAGGCAAAGTCAGAGTTGCATGCAAGGTGAAAAATTTTATAAACTTATACTCAAAATATCTTTCATATCTGGGCTCACACCACCTTCAAACAGTTTTGGTTATTTACACACCTCTCTCCCCTCATGCCCTGTTAGCTGCTTGCTCACAGCTGAATCAGCCACAGCACTGTGCTGGTAATGTGACAGGCACCTAGGGAATATTTATGGAATGAAAACTGAATCTTCTCTCACTTTCTCAAAGACAGAGTCCTGTGTTAAGTTTTTAGAAACCTGCCTCCAAGTGTTAAAAGGCTATAAATCAAACGCTCTCCAGGTGTGGCCGTGCAATAGATTAGAAATTCATGTCATGAAACCATAAGATACTCTTAATCTCAGGAAACAAACTGAAGGTTTCTGGTGGGGGATAAGGATGGGGTGGCTGGGTGATGGACACTGGGGAGGGTATATGCTATGGTGAGCGCTGTGAATTGTGTAAGAGTGATGATTCACAGACCTATACCCCTGAAGAAAATAATATATGATATGTTAATAAAATAAAAATAAATATTCTTGGAAGGAGAAAAAAAAATAAGAAATTCATGTCATGTTTCATCAGTCAGTCTACTTTTTCTCTTGTCTTCCTGTATCAAAGCCCTGATTAAATGAAATTCAGGTCTACCCAGAAAAGCTGCTCTTTGGCTAAGCTTTTGTAGTGCATCTATCTTTTTCTCCAAGAAATCAGGAGGGTTCACACATTCTGTTATTCTACAAGTACTGATTAATACATATGACTGTCAGGTTTATGCTTATCTACCATATACTACTTTTCTTTGAATGTATTGTTCTAGATAGTTCTGATTAGAAGTCTTCAGTGATGCACCATTTTTATTAAATTAAGTCCATATGCCTTCGCTTGGTATCCAAGGTTCTCCAAGCTCAGGCCTTATCTTTTATTTATAGTCTTGTCTACCCTATATTTATGCTATGTTTCAGCTAAGAACTTAGTGTTCTCAGAAATCAACCACATTTCCTCATGACTTCACTTCTGCTTTTTCCTTTTTTCCCCTCCCTCTCCTGCAAACCATTCTTCGGCCAAACAAATGATACTTCTTATTGTCAGAATTGCCTGGGCTCTAGAGTCAGGGCTGCAATGAGCAATGGAAACCACGAAATAAGTATACAGAAAGGCCAACACTGGCATGCTTCATGCACTGCTTAGTTCACTTCGCAGGAGAGGCTCTTTTTACCCCCTCACTAAATTAGCTATATAACCCACTGCCACCTGTCAAAAGTATGTCCATTTTATGCTCAAAATACATATAAAAGGAGTAATACTCTTAGCACTTTATTATTACTTTTCTTAAAGACCTGTTGCATTTTATTCTACATCAGAATTGTGCATTTCTCATATATTCCCCAAATTGAAGTTGTTAAAGAGTAAGTATTCAGTTTTGTACCTCACAGTGCCTGGCTTATTACAGCACTGAGTTAGCATTTATAGAATAAACAAATACATGTCTCACTGACCGTCCAGATTTAAGCTCCAGGTGGGCAAATAATATATCCTATACTTCTTTTGTATCCCTAAAGGGGCAAAGCAGAACAAGTATACTCCTTATTCTTAAATATTGGTTTATAAGAGCCATATTTTTAGTGCTTCCTGTATACCAGAGTCTAAAATCTTTTTACATATATCCTCACTAGAACATACTCTCCTTGAGGGCATAACTGGTTTTATTTGCTGATATATTTGCAACCTGTAGAATAATACTTGGCACACAGCAGGTGCTCAATGATTATTTGGTAAGTAAATTCCAATGAAATTTTATAACTCCAAAAGGTAGTATTATTATTCTAATTTTAAAATGAAAAAAACTAAAGCTTATACAGGTAAGTAATATAACATATATAATAATATGTAATATAAGTATAACATATATATGATATACATATACATACATATAATATAAGTAATATAACAAATATAATATGAGCCAGTATCTATATGCTGGCCTCTCTTCAACGTCTGTTTTTTCACTACAACACTGAACTTTAGCCTCTAGCCTCATAGGCCTGAGCATGGAGAGCCACAAGCTGGTTTCAGGCCCTGGAACATAAAGTTGGATGGTGTGTATGAAGATAGTTAAATCCTTTCTTGGCCTATTCCACTATATAGAATATAGGATTAGGCATTTTCCACTTAGTGAAGATGATAGAGTTCTCACCAGTACAGTGATTCTCAAATGTTAATACATAGAATAATCATCTGGGATTTGTGTTAAAAATGCAGATTATAGTCTCACCTCTAACGATTCTAGTTTTCAGTAGTTCAATAAAGACAGAACAGAGATAAAATGAGGTATATTAGGTATAAACCAAGGACTGGGCCTTTGAGTACCTTGTTGCCAAGGATGGGGATGAGGGAAGAACAGAAATGGTGCTCCAAAAACAAGCAGAGACGGTTTGAATACCAATTCTGACTCTTGGGTGGTTCGATTAGGATGTAAAAAAGCAGGAACAGGACCCAATCTCCCAGGGGAAATGGTCTTAATTAACTGGCTGGAAGTGGGAGTGACAACCCCCCATAAAAGTTCAAAGGGGTATGGAGAAAACTGGAGAATCTTTTGGGCCCAGGTGGTGGTAGTGGCAGTTTATATAAGGCACAGTTTATAAATACACAGTACACGAACCATAGAAAACTGCTGAGAAGGGTTTAGATAAGGCAAAGCCTTGGGAGTTACTAACATTAAAATTTCAACTAGAACTTTAGAAGGGTTCACTTATTTGATAGGCAAAAAAGGAAGGTAAACCATGTAAATGTTTGCTGATCTATAATGAATCCAGGAGATGAGAAAGAGGGCTGCCAAAATGGCTGGTTGCAAAAAAAAAGGGGAGAGTCAATATTTGAGGCATCCAGGTAACACTACTATAAGGAGTTGGTGTGACTGTTGAAGGAATTAAAGTCATCTGGGAGAGCATGAATTGGCAAGAGGCCCCAAGGAGGATTTTCTAAGATATTTTTTCCAAGATATTTCATGTGATTTTCCCTCTGGAAATTTTCCAGAGGGAAAATCACATGAAAATGTAAGCAAAAGCCAGATGATACAGGTTTTATAGGCCATATGAAATCCGGACTTTATCCATGACAAAATCTGTAGTTATAGAAAAGTTACTCTGGATAACTGTGTGGAGACTGGAATAGAAGGGAGCAAAAACGGAAAAAGAAAGATAAATTAGACCTTTAGGTGGGAGATTATAGTAGTTTGATTTAGGGTGATGTGGTATCAATAGAGAGAAGTAGAAAATGATGAAATACACTTTGCTCTGTTCTACAGAAATTTCCTTACCCTTATTTTCCATCACTTAGTTTTAAAAAAATTGCCATTATATTTGTAATTTTCATTAGTTCTTCCTGTTGTGTGAATTTGTTTTTACAGCATCCCGTTCTTATTTCATGGTTGCAATATCTTCTGCTAATCTAATGATAATGTTATTAATAATTTCTCAAGGTTTTCTTCTCTCTGGATAGTTTCTATTTCTCCCAAATTGCCTTTCTACGTTTGTTAACTTTGGTCTGTGTCATCCACAATATTCAATGTTGTTGACCATTCCCTTGTTGAAACAACTCAGTTGTTCACTCAGGTCTATGCCGACTTTGATAATTTCTAGCTATCTTTTTCTCACTTCTCATTCTACCTTACTCATTCCTACAATGACTCCTGTTTTCATCACCTGTATATGCATGGCTGTATTCATTCAATAAACCCTTATTAATTTCCAGATACCATGCTGGGTGACAGAGACTCAGAAATTAGTAAAACATGGTTCCTGACCCTACTCCTCAATCACCTTACTTTTCTCAAGGTATCCAAACTCTCTTCATGGGTAAGCAGCAACTGAATCCCTGATAAGATGCTATACCAGAGAATCTCAGGGTATGGAGTTACCAAATCAAATCACAGAGCATTGGTGGGGGCGGGGGAGGGCGTGGGCGCAGTGCCTGGGTGGTTTAGTCGTTGGGCGTCTGCCTTCAGCTTGGGTTATGATCCCAGCATCCCTGGATGGAGCCCTGCATCAGGCTCCCTGCTCTGCGGGAAATCTGCTTCTTCCTCTCCCACTCCCCCTGCTTGTGTACCCTCTCTCGCTGTCTCTCTGGCAAATAAATAAATAAAATCTTAAACAAAACAAAACAAAAAAACACACAAAAACAAATCACAGAGCATTGAGCAGTGATAGAGGTAGAAAAACAGTCTACCAAAGGGGACAAGGCAAAATCTAGGTTCTACTTTCTAGGAGAAAAACACAGAAGAGAAATAAAGGGGTTTCAAGGAAGTGAAGAGCCCAGCAATGCCTGGATCCATTCTTGGGATTAAAAGCAGGCAGCTACCAGTTTTAGAAATCTTATTTCTGCTTTTTAAGTCTGTTTTGGTGAGGAAGAGGGTTTGGGAAAGGGAATAAGGAAGATGGTCTAAGTGTTTAAAGATTTAGCAGGGAAAAGAAACATGACTGTGCTAATAACTCCAAAATTCTGACTTTTGTCCTCAGTTCCAGATCCATATATCCAACTATCCATCACAAATCTTTTCCTAAATGTTCTATAAGCCCCTCTAATTTATCATCTTCCCAAATTTATTCCTCCTCCTATGTTCCCTCAGTGAACAGCAACATTATCATCAAATTCATCAATACCATCCTAGCTAAACATTCTAGAATTCAGTTTTCTCCCATCTTTCTATTCTTTTCTTTACTCCTGACACAACCTATACACCTGAATGCTGACCAGTCCATGTTACCTCTAAGATATCTTCATTCTCTGTCCCCCTTTTTTCAGTATCATTGCTGATTATCAACATTGCTTATTAGAAACAGATTAGGAAAGGCCTTGTGGAATACTAGAAAGGTAATTTTAGTATGGAATAAACACAAGTATGGAAGTAGTAGTTTCTAGGGAAGGTTAAGAATCATATCTCAAGGTCAATGTGGCAATGTAAGCCCAATTTCAGACAAATACATAATAGGATACTGAGATGGGAGGGTCAAAGAAAGATAAAAATTGCTTTAGCCCAGTGGTAAAGAGGGAAGAGGGTTGTTTTGGTGACAGCAGTGATATAAACTAGACAGGTGTAATATACCTCCTTAACCGAGGTGGTCATTAAAAGAAAAAAGGCAAGAGAGTTTGGAAATAAGCAACAATTCTGAGAAAGAGCTAATGGGAATAAAGCATAAGAGATCATAACTTAGTTATCGGGGTACAGAGCAGTACTTCCCTTTAGTGCTATAGACGTTGCGATGAGGCAGAACTCAGGTCTCTTAAGAGCTCTGGACTTAAGGAGGCCACAGAAGTAGAACAGCCTCCCTGTGTGGGATAAGAGATAGGTGAAGCTACTCTTTATAAATAGAGAGAGCTCAGTTACTACATATACACCACAACTTTCTGTATAAAGCAATAGATGATTATTTCTGCTAGGTAGCAAGAGTTCCTAGAAGCTCGTTTGAGTATCTTTGTTTCTGAGGAGTGCTGAGGTTGTGTGTAGGACTTGGTTAGTTCTATTGGACAAATGGGAAAGGCAGACCCTCTGGCACACAGACTATAGTATTATACAGGCCATCCACCTGGTCTCCTTGCCTCTTTTATGCTGGCACCACAATTATCTTCTAAAAATAAAGAAGTACTATAAAGAAGCATAAAAACCTTGAGTTCTGAAGTCGGGTGAGCCTGGGTTATACATAATTTCCAATTTTATGAAATAGAAGTGGTTAAAACAGCTATTTCACAGACTAGTTTTGAAAGCTAAATGAATTGACGTATATAGAGTCCCTTGGGTGGTGGAACATAGTAAGGATCTAACAAACAAAATGCCTTCTCAAAATTCTTTCTTATGATAAAGTCCTTACAATCTGGCTTCGTTAGCATCTGTTTCAACTTAGCTATCTTTTCTACTAGATTTTAAGCTACTTGAAGGCAGGAACCATGTCTGTTTTATGCCTTTAATAATCAGCACTATTTCTTGCACGCAGTAGGTATTCAATATATAATCAAAGAAAAAGTGAACATAGTATCTTTCTCCATCCATGCACCCTCCCATTATATATAGCTCATAAGCACAATGCTAATAGATGCTCTTTAGAATGACCCTGATGTTATGTGGGATCCTAAAATATTAAGGAAATTCTCATATCCATCTAATTTCACTGAATGACACAAACTATTTCAGGCGTTCGTGCACTCCTGAATATTCCAGGCTCCTGGGCACAGGGATTATATAGACAAATAAAGTCCATAAACTAGATCAATATATAACTCTAACATTCTCTGTCCTTTTTGCCCAAACCTTTATAAGGTAGACAACTGGACTGCTTTAAGAAACTAAGAGTTAAATAGTTGTTTAGATAGAATGAACTCATTAAGGTATAAGTGATTACAACTGCAAAAATATCCCCCCCCCTAATTTGAACCTCCAAATATGCAACGAAGCAACAAAGTAGGCTTTTGTAAAAATCTGTATAATTACCATGCACTTGGTTGATTTCGGAGTTGGAGGATAGAATCTCATCTGCCAGTTTCTGTGCAGTAGGAAGAACTTCAGTGTGGTGGGCCGTGATTAAATATTGAATAAACTTTTGTAGCTGGTCCCTATTCATCTGGAAAAGGGTTTCTGAGATAGGAAGACGCAATTTGACTTGGTCTGGTTTACGGATCCTGTAGAGTGAGAGTGCTACCACATGAGCACAGTAGAATATGTCTTTGTTCCCACAGCCACATGTCACTGAAGTGATTTTGCATCGATCAAAACTGATCGCAACTTTGTAAGTCACTGCTGGTTCAGAAGGAGTAGCTGCCTCAGTTACTGTGCCACTGAGATGGAAGCCTAAGGAAACAAAGAAAGTGTGTTTAGAGACTCTATAGTAAGAATCTTGAAGATTTTCATTTTGCATTTCAATTAATCAATTCAGAAACTTTTTGCTGAGTATCTCCTATCTTTGTAGTAGGCTCTACCATAATACAAAGGTCAATGAAACTCAGATATAGCTCATAAGGAACACAATATCTAGAAAAAAAGTCCTTACTCTGGAGTCCACAAACCTGAACTAATTATGAAAACTTTTGTTTCTACATGTGTACTTTTGCTGAGGGTGGAGATGGTTCAAAGCTTTCATTATAGTCTCAAAAGGTTAACAAAAAATCCCAAATAAGTTAAGAAACTCAGGTAGATTTTAAGCTCTTTGGGGGCAAAGACAAGTCTACAAATAACATCAGTACAATCTAGATTAAGGTGAGTGCTATAAATGCAAGAGAAACCAAAAGAATGCCATGAAAAGGACAGGAGTAAGAACAAGGAGACTATGACAACATTTATTCCTCAAAACACACAATTCCAAAATGGTGGCCATGTGGAACACATAAAAGGCAAGAAACCTCATAAAATATGGAAAGCACAGCTTGCTGTAGTGAGATTAGCAGTGTTACACTTCTACTTACTAGCACATAGCACTGATAATTTTGAAATGTAAGAATAATTCAGTCATTCAAACCAATGTTTAATGAGACCTTAAATATCACACTGCTACGCCTAGGAATATTATTAAAAGAAACAGGAGAAGAATATCAAATATCTGTAAGGCACCTATCATGTAGCAGGATTGTAATAGGTGCTTTTAATAATTTATCACAACATGATGAAGTTGGTATTATTTCCCTTGTTTTCTTTTTTTTTTTAATTAACATACAATGTATAATTTGTTCCAGGGGTACAGGTCTGTGATTCATCAGTCTTACACAATTCACAGCACTCACCATAGCACGTACCCTCCCCAATGTCCATCACCCAGCCACCCCATCCCTCCCAACCCCCTCCCCTCCAGCAACCCTCCATTTGTTTCCCGAGATTAAGAGTCTCTTATGGTTTGTCTCCCTCTCTGGTTTCATCTTGTTTCATTTTTCAGTCCCTTCCCCTATGATCCTGTCTTGTTTCTCAAATTCCTCATATCAGTGAGATTATAATTGTCTTTCTCTGACTGACTTTTCAAATTTTTATTTAAATTCTATTTAGTTAACATACAGTGCAATACAGGTTTCAGGTGTAGAATTTATAAACTACGCCCAGTGCTTATCATAAAAAGTGCCCTCCTTAATACCCATCATCCATCTAGCCCATTGCCCACCCACCTCCCCCCATCAACCCTTGCTTTGTTCTCTATCATTAAAAGTCTCTTATGGTTTGTTTCCTTCTCCTTCTATCTTTTTTTTCCTCCCCTTCCCATATGCTCATCTGTTTTGTTTCTTAAATTCCACATATGAATGAAATCATATGGTATTTGTCTAACTGACTTATTTCGCTTAGCATTATACACTCTAGCTCCAACCATGCAGCTACAAATGAGAAGATTTCATTCTTTCTGATAGCTGAGTAATATTCCATCATATATATATATATGTGTGTGTGTATATATATACACACATATATATATAACATCTTCCTTATCCATTCTTCAGCCAATGGACATCTGGACTTTTTACACAGTTTGGCTGTTGTTGATAATGCTGCAATAAACATTGGGGTTCATGTACCACTTTGAATCTGTATTTATGTATCCTTTGGATAAATACCTAGTAGTGCACAATTGCTGAGCTATAGGGTAGTTTTCCCTTTAACTTTTTGAGGAAACTCTATACTGTTTTCCAGAGTGGCTGCACCAGTTTGCATTTCCACCAACAGTGCAAGAGGATTCCCCTTTCTCCCCAACCTCACCAACACCTGTTGTTTCTGGCATTAATTTGAACCATTCTGACTGGTATGAGGTGGTATCTTATTGTGGTTTTCATTTGTATCTCCCTGATAATGAGTGATGTTGGACGTTTTTTCATGTGTCTGTTAGCCATCTGTTCGTCATCTTTGGGAAAATGTCTATTCATATCTTTTGCCCATTTCTTGATTAGATTATTTGTTCTTTGGATGTTGAGTTTGATAAGTTCTTTATAGATTTTGGATACTAACCCTTTATCATATACATCATTTGCAAATATCTTCTCCCATTCTGTAGGCTGCCTTTAAGTTTTTGTTGATTGCTTTCTTTGCTGTGCAGAAGCTTTCAATCTTGATGAAATACCAATAGTTCATATTTGCTTTTGTATTTTGTCCTTGCCTCCAAAGATGTGTCAAGTAAGAAATTGGTATGGCTGTGGTAGAAGAGGTTGCTGCCTATGTTCTCCTCTAGGATTATGATGGTTTCCTGTCTCCCATTTGGGTCTTTCATCCATTTTGAACTTATTTCTTTGTATGGTGTAGGAAAGTAGTCCAGTTTCATTCTACATGTTGCTGTCCTGTTTTCCCAACACAATTTGAAGAAACTGTTTTTTTTTTTCCATTGAATATTCTATCCTACTTTGTTGAAGATTAGTTACCATATAGTTGCGGGCCCATTTCTGGATTTCTTTTCTGTTCCATTGATTTATGTGTCTGTTTTTGTGTGAGCACCACACTGTGTTGATGACTACAGCTTTGTAATATCACTTGACGTCTTAAATCACAATGCTTCCAGATTTGCTTTTCTTTTTCAGGACTGTTTAGTTATTCAGGGTCTTTTGTGGTTCTATACAAGTTTTAGGACTGTTTGTTCTAGTTCCGTGTAAAATGCTGGTGGTATTTTGATAGGGATTGCATTAAATGTGTGATTGCTTTGGGCGGTATAGACATTTTAACAACATTTGTTCTAATCCATGAGCGTGGAATGTCCTATTCTTTGTGTCATCTTCACTTTCTTTCATAAGTGCTCTACAGTTTTCAGAGTACAGGTCTTTCACCTCTTTGGTTAGGTTTGTTCCTTGGTATCTTATTATTTTTGGTGCAGTTGTAAATGGGATTATTTTTTTTAGTTTCTCTTTCTGCTGCTTCCTTATTGGTGTACACAAATGCAACAGATTTCTGTACACTGATTTGGTATCCTGCAACTCTACTGAATCTGTTTATCAGTTCCAGAAGTTTTGGCTGTGGTGGGGGGCGAGTCTTCCAGATTTCCTGTGTAGAAGAGTATCATGTCATCTGCAAATGGTGAATATTTCACCTCCCCCTTACTGATTTGCATGCCTCTTATTTCTTTTTATTGTCTGATAGCTATGGCTAGGACTTCCAGTATGATGTTGAATAGAAATGGTGAGAGTGAACATCCCTATCTTGTTCCTGACCCTAGAGGAAAGGCTCTGTTTTCCCCACTGAGGGTGACGTTAGCTATGGGTTTTCCATATAGTGAGCTATTTATTATGTTGAGGTATGTTCCCTCTAAACTTACTCTGTTGAGGGCATCATCATGAATGGATATTGTACTCTGTCATATGCTTTTTCTCCATCTACTGAAAGGATGACATGGTTTCTATCCTTTCTCTTGTTGATGTGATGTATCACGTTGATTGATTTGTGAATACTGAACCACCTTTGCAACCCTGGAGGAAATCCCACTGGATTGTGGGGAATGATGTTTTTAACGCATTGTTGGATTTGGTTTGCTAGTATTTTGTTGAGGATTTTTGCATCTATGTTCATCAAGGATATTGCCCTGTAGTTCTTTTCCTGTAGTGTCTTTTTTTTTTTTTTAAAGATTTTATTTATTTATTTATTTGACACAGAGGGAGAGAGAGCGAGAGATATCTATCACAAGTAGGCAGAGAAGCAGGCAGAGAGAGAGGGGGAAGCAGGCTCCCTGTTGAGCAGAGAGCCCAATGTGGGGCTCAATTCCAGGACCCTGAGATCATGACCTGAGCCAAAGGCAGAGGCTTAACCCACTGAGCCACCCAGGCGCCCCCTCAAGGTGTCTTTAACAGGTTTTGATACCAGGATAATGCTGGCTTCGTAGAATAAACTTGGAAGTTTTCCTTCCTTTTCTATTTTTTTGAATAGTTTGAGAAGAAAAGACATTAGCTCTTCTTTAAAATTTTTTTTGTTGTTCTTTAAAAAGATTTTATTTTGAGGGCGCCTGGGTGGCTCAGTGGGTTAAGCCGCTGCCTTCGGCTCAGGTCATGATCTCAGGGTCCTGGGATCGAGTCCCGCATCGGGCTCTCTGCTCAGCAGGGAGCCTGCTTCCCTCTCTCTCTCTGCCTGCCTCTCTGTCTACTTGTGATCTCTCTCTGTCAAATAAATAAATAAAATCTTTAAAAAAAAAAAAAAAAGATTTTATTTTGAGAAAGAGAGAGAAAAAGAGAGTGCGCTCATGAGTGAGGGGGAGGGGCAGAGGGAGAAACAGACTTCCCACTGAGGGGCTTGATCCTAGGACCCTGCGATCATGAACTGAGCTGAATGAAGGCAGAGGCTTAACCAACTGAGCCACCCAGGTGCTCCTTAAATATTTGATAGGATTTGCCTGTGGAACCATCTGGTCCTGGACTTTGGTTTTTTGGGAGTTTCTGGATTACCGATTCAATTTCTTTGCTTGTATTCAGCCTGTTCAAATTTTCTATTTCTTCCTGTTTCACTTTCATTAGATTGTATGTTTCTGGAATTTATCATTTCTTCTAGGTTGTCCTATTTGTTGGCATGTATTTTTTCATAATACTCTCTTATAATTTTATTTCCATGGTGTTTGTTGTTATTTCTCCTCTCTCATTTCTGCTCTTATTTATTTGGGTCCTTTCTCTTTTTATCTTACGTCTGGCTAGAGGTTTGTCAATTTTATTTTATTTTATTAAAAGATTTTATTTATTTATTTGACAAAGATCACAAGTAGGCAGAGAAGCAGGCAGGGGGGGTGGTGGGAAGCAGACTCCCTACTGAGCAGAGAGCCAGATGCGGGGCTCGATCCCAGGACCCTGGGATCATGACCTGAGCTGCAGGCAGAGGCTTAACCCACTGAGCCACCCAGGCACCACAAGGTTTGTCAA